GCTCTTCCGATCTAATACGAATATTACATTTGCTGGGCCAGAAACTTTTTGGCGCCCGCGCCACAGGCGCCCGTGATTTGGAGTATTTTGTCGCCAACGGCTGTAGCGCAAGCAGGGAGGTTTCGGGCCAAGCAAATGTGATATTCGTGTTCAGGAGGTCAGACTACCCTTGGGAGCAAGTTTTCAGCGAATTTGGTGATTCAGGGTATTTTGGCGCCGGCGCCTGTGGCGCGGGCGCCAGGAGGTTTCATGTTGAGCGGATGTGATATTCATGTTCAGGAGGTCAAACTACCACAGGGAACAAATTTTTAGCCGAATTTCGCAGTAAAAAGTAGGTCAAATACTGGTCGGTTTTTGGAAGAATGAGCCATCAAAGGGCAAATAGTGCCATTTTTTCCTCTACGCTCTTAGCTGGCGAGAAGATTGTCTGCTACAAATTCTTATTCAAACCCTACCAGCTTTCGCTTCGCATGGCAACATCAACCTTTCAAAGGGCACAGAGCGATGTTAGGCGACATTAGGGAAATACTAGCAAGTAAGTATAGAAATAGGTTGGTCAGCTCAAAGCAAGTGTGGAAGCGTCTGAAAATTTTTATGTTCAACTTCTCCAAAACAAGCACAGAAACCAGCTGTAGCTGCGAGGATGGTATCGTAATTGTGTCTTTCCACAACTTCTGATCAATGAAAACTTTATTATGCTTACTATTAGTTTTGCCTACAACAAGTAATCAGTTGTTACTGACGCACACAACCAATGGATCGTACATATTATTTGGAAGAAGCAATCTTCAAGTAAAATTATGTCTCTCTCAACATTATAACTATAGCTAAACTCGAACCGTAGCAGTGAGTGAAGCCGCAGTCCACTTGAAATAGCCGTAGAGCGACCAGGAAGTTTGGCTTTCCGTCAAAAATTAGGGCCTCTCCAGGGCTCTTTCATGTCTGCCCACATGAATAGTACTCAGTAAGTTAATTTCGGAACGTGGAATCAGAGAGTTGGTGGGCGAATGTCATTAGTGATTGGCCTGCGACTTCACGGCATGGATTTCTAGCTATCGCTCTTTAGACTAATGAGGACTGAAGAGCAAGATCATCAAAGAAATGTTCGTTACATGTTTACATTCCAAGACTTGCCATAGTTGCACGTCGCTGGCTCTCGTCCTCTCTCGGGCTGCTATGCGTTTCTCTACCATCTCTACCAATTAGCCAGTACGTGCTGCACGTTCCCTTGCCCTGAAAACAGAGATCCTCATTAATCCGGGATTAGGGCACGGTCAACAAAGAACTTCCTCCTGAAAAGATTTCAGGGGTTTTTCGGAAGCGAAATCCAGCCTGTTCAGGAAATACAGAGGCAGCGGCTGAGCACACCATGAACCGTGTTACCCAGAAAAATACGAGAACGGCGAACAGAAACCTATGAATTCGTTCACATAATTCTGACCCTCGAGCCGGGGCTGGAGCTCTATTACTTAGGACTCAAGAAAGACATAATTCATGGATCAGCCTCAACGGATTCAGAGCAAAGTCAAGGTGTACTGATATTTCCGTAGTGTACAATCTATGAAACAGTAGAACGGCCCATGAAAGCTCTCACAAAACGAACCTTCACTTGAACTGTTCCTCTCAGCTCAGTTTTATATTCTGGATAGAATTTGGCTAAGCATGTCATGCGCATTTTCTGACATTTGAATCTTCTCCGGTTCGCCTGTTGATTCCATTCGAGATGCCATATTCACCTGAAATTTTGAAGTACTGCAACAGTTGTTAAGTTTCTCGATAAGCTCTGCACTGCCCAAGATGAACATCACATCAGGAACATACTTTCGTTTGATCCCCACAGCCTCATTAGGGATGAAAATACTGCTGTGAGAACTCATTTATTGAAGCATTTTCGCAAATATATAGGGTCTCCCTTCCAGCATTGAATGAATAGAAAGATTTTCAGCCTAAGAGCTGACCGTATCAACCGGAGACAGGACAGTAATCTGGAGGCTGTTAGACGCGACGGACACCAGCCGCCGCACAGGAGCCGGCAGTGGTAGCCGATAGTGCGGAGTACGTAGACGTGTGCTACGACGGGAGGGTGGTGGAATCCTGTACGTGGTTTCGAAGCGGGAGCCTGAAAATACGTTTTCGTCAGAGACGCTGGCTATACATTATGGACTCAGTTAACTATGCTAGCCCTGAGATTTTTCTAGTTTCTTTTCGAGGTCACAATAAAGAGCTATGAGGACAGCCAACGTCGATCGGTGGAAACGTACAAGGACAGTTGACTACATACAGTGTGTTCCTCAGTGGTGATGCCTCCCTAATTTCGACAAAAGGGAGGGGACACCCACAAGAAAGGTACGATGGTTTGCTGTCTACGTCCATACATCAAAGGCGAACTATGAGCTCTTGTGTAGTATGCCTACCTCCATGATCTCTAGAGCGATGTCGGAGATGTGCATGATATGTCTGGTACCATTTTCTTCAGGAATTCCGGATACAACCATGTACGCGTCACCGATTGTCTCCACCTGAACGTGAAGTTCTATTCAGCTTGTAGAACACATTCGATGTGAACGGTAAGGAAAGGGGAAAAGCAGAAAACAAGCCTGCATGGGATTCTTGCCTTGATTGAGGAAAATACCATGCAAAAGGGTTACTTAACCTCCCACTGTATAGGAGTTCCGATGTTCCGTCTGAGGACACACCACGGGCGACCGTGGCTTTCACATCATAATGCTTTCATTGATTTATCAGTACTACGTTCCCTGCCGTAACCCCGGGAACCGAAGAATGAGCCACTCCGTGAAGGTCGAACGCACGAAATGTCTTGACTACTGCCTATGCTGTGGAGCTCTGTGACTGCTGGAAAAAAGTTCATCGAACCTTTCGGGAATAGTTCTCCTTTGCTTCAGAGGAATCTCTGGATTAGCACTCCTTTCTGTTGAGCTATCGGTTTTTTTAGTTAATGCTGAAGCTAACCTTGTACGATTGATGTTTGTTGATGATATCATCGAATTTCGTGTAGATTCCATTCAACATGTTGACCACTTCTAGAGGTGTAGATGACCCGCATATTGTGGTAAAACCAACAATGTCGCTGCAAAAAAAGATGATATCTATAGGTTAAATGTGATCACTAATAGTTGATTCTACTAGCATATATTATATTTTCCAGAGCAGTATCCGCATTATTATTGCATATTTCAAACAGCGTACAAAATGAGAGACTACTAGTGATTACCTGAAGAAAACTGTAGCTGACTGGAACATTTTCGGAGGCACCGATCGGCCGAGTTTCAGTTCATTTGCAACATACCTGAAATGAGCTATCCACGGTTTAGGATGATCTGTAGGCTACATCGCTATCGCGGGGAACCTCATAAGAGATAATGCCCGTTCAGGGAAGGTCGCTCGCTCAACCAACAAGCAGGGTTAGAGAACAATACTATTTCGAAGGTTAAGTCTTACTTTGGAAGAAGTTGAGAAAGAAGTTTATCGGCTCGTGCATTCGCATCCTCTAACATACCAGTACGTTCTTGGACAAGTTTCTCCAGATTGTTGGCATACTGTAAAAAACAAGCGATACTTCGATGTCTTCAAAATTTACACCTAAAGTTGCCCGGAACTTCGGATATGGTTTGAAGATTCCAACACGTGATCGCATCAAAAACCCAAGCCTGTCCGAAACCATTGAGAACAACCCCTGTAACTGCTTCATAGACGTACCTGCTCCATCATGCGCATCATTTGGTCGACAAGAGAGCCTCTCCTGAAAAAATAAGTGCTCAAAAGTTGTGCGAAAAATGACCATTTTAAGAGTCAAAGGAGAAGCGGTTCCATGTCGTATGGAACGCCCAGTAGATATTGACTGAGTTACTCACACTTTCAAGTAATTCTCAGTATTGAGTCGAACTCGTCGAATTGACGGTCGAAGTTCAGGGTTCTCATGCCAACAGTCGAGCAACAGTGCGGTCAGGTCAGGATGGATTTCCGTTTTGTCCTGTATTGTCGGACGATACGTTCGCTTTCCGTCACGGATGTAATCGAGAATCTCTGAAAGGTTTATCGATTAGAACCTATGAGGCGATTTCGGTCTATTTGATTCTTACCGTCAATGTCAGCTGTGCTAGGGAACGGTAGCGCTCGGAAAAGGATCTCATACATCACCATACCAAATGCATAAATGTCACCCATTTGACGTCGCGCTTGAGATTGCTTCAGCCAAGCCTGAATCATCGATTTTCGTAAATTCCAGAGGGATACAGGAAGTTTTGGAAGAGATGTGAGATGTTATACGGCACTCTGAAGACTTAGGGCAATCACACATACCTGGTCGGCTCGCCGCAGTCGATTCTCTTCGCGATTTTTCAGTGCCTCGGGTGGTTGGTACAGTATACCTGGAAGAAGGATTATTTCAGTACTAAATTTTGATTGACGCCAGGTTTTTTGGGAAGTACTAGCTTCTGCCAGTACTCTAAGTGCTCTGTTGCTATTGTTTGGATGAAAATAAAACGTCCTATTCATGGAATGGCTCTAAGAGTGCTTTCACTTGTCGTGAGACCTTTATGGGGTCACCAGCTAACTGACCACGCTTTGGGTCAACGGGTCATGTAACGGTACCCCAGTCGACCCATCTGCTTAAATTGGCTACGAAGTGGCGCTGATTTTAGTGGTCACCACTGCTCAAATTGGGCCAGCGATATAGCTGAAAGTTCAGCGGTAAACTGACGAAGTACTCCTGAGCTGATTGCAGACATACGACGAGCTTTGTCCATCAGTATACGTGTCAGCTCGCCGAGTTCGTCTTTTTCTTCTTTGACTGAAATCAAAGAAATTTGTGCCTCGTCAGTCTGTCTCACTCTTGACAGGACAGCAGGCATTTTTCAATCGTAACGTTTGCTGAAGCGCCAAGCATTCATCACAGCGACATTACAGTCCAACAGTACAGTACTTTCGGGTACGGTATGTGTACAGTAATATGGCCACAGGAATCCGTGGAGATTTGGCGAACTTACGCTCGAAAGTACGAGCTGAGCTGTTGAAGAAGCTGAAACTCACTTGTTTTCTGCAGTGAACCGCTCTTCCACTCGTCATCACCCTCTTTCAACGTTTCCGTTGCGATCAAGCCCTGTTTTTCCCATCGTTCCAATGAATCAGCAATTCCTGGAAAATGTTACTCTGATATTGGTTGTCCCAAAAGTTCGTGGACACTTTTTGAATCTCGTATCAGATTTTTCCGCAGCCATTTCGAGATCCAGTTATGTGGTCTATGGGAAGTGTGTGAGGTAAGCATTCCACAGCTTCTTCACCTTCCCTCGCAGCCGCTGTCATAATTTAGACCTTGATGTTAGTTTCACAGTACGGCTTTGGAATGGCCCAATTGCTTCCGCTTTAGTGACTTCTATCCGGGTGAAAAACTTCGTCCAAGGAGGCCACCTGCCTTGGATTTGGACCTACTGTGTTCCTTGATTAAAACCAATACGTACAAATCAACTTGCTATCTAGTCCTTACACTTGACTGGTCCCAAAGCACAAATGAGAGAGGGCCTCGCTCCCTTAGAAAAGTTCTGAAGTTCGGTCAAAATTTTTCTCATGAGTTGACCAGTACTCCAAGGGGAGCACATGTGGGTACTGTCTACAACTTCTCTCCCGCTTCCGCTGTACGGGCTGGTTGAACAGCACTGTAACTGGATATGGAGTGGGTGCCTCTAGGTGAATCACTCCTGGGAGCGCCAGCGGCTAGATCCCCCAGAAAGGGCAGAACCGATCGCGCAATCCTATCAATCCAGTAGGGCGGTGAGGCTGTGTATGTGGTGGGGTACCTTTCTCCGCTCTCGAAACGGAATTCCCTCCTTCCAACGCTATGGTAACCAGGGAGCCCTATTGTAATCAACTGCAAAGTGGGGTAGAAACCTCTACCATT